TGAATTAATTTCTTGCTTGTTGTTAGCTGAACAAAATAATGAGCTGTTGATGAAAAACCATGAATCTAGACCTACGGGATCTACTGCGGTCCCTGAAATAAATACTGTAATATCTAGACAGGGAACTGAAAATAAAAACAGCCAAAATCATGTGCGTGGATATACCTCAGGGCGTGGCCGTGGTCGTGGACGTGGCCGTGGATATGGTCCGGATCGCCAAAGCCGAGGCCACAAATTTCACCGAGGGTATAACTCGGGCCGAGGATACAATCGTGGACGAGGCCGCAACTATGTCCAAAATTATGAAAGGGGGAGAAATTTCCAGCCAAAATTTGAACAGAACAATGTGACGGAGAATAATAATGAAAATGCATGTTATCGATGTGGAAGGAAGGGACATTGGGCACGAAATTGTCGTGTTCCGAGACACGTTGTTGATAATTATAATGATTCTCAGAAATCAAAAGATAAAAATATAGAAACCAATTTTATGGTTGGGGAATCTTCTGAAAATGATGCAGCACGTGTGGATGATGACTATGGCATCGATGACATATTGAAACTGGATTTTGCCGATGCAGTGTTTGAAGACAGAGATGGAAATGACCAGGAGAATAACTGATGATCATGTTTTTTTTATTGCTTTCTAAGTTTGTTGTATTTGTGTGTGGACTACTTTTATCTGTATTTCGAATTCAATCAATAATAAATGTTGTTTTCTTTTAGATCATGGATCAGTCTCGAATCCAAAATGGAGATATATGTATTGCAGATTGTGCCACTACTCATACTATACTCAAGGACAGAAAATATTTCGTCAACTTGATATTAAATAAAGCAACAGTAAACACCATATCCGGAAACGCAAAGATAATTGAGGGTTCTGGCAAGGCCATATTTTATATGATGGGAGGTACCAAATTTACAATAAATGATGCATTATTCTCCCCAAAATCAACAAGAAACTTGTTGAGTTTTAAAGATATCCGAATGAACGGATACCACGTTGAAACAATGAATAAAGGGGGAGTTGAATATCTTTGCATTAACTCAAACAATGCTGGAAATAAATGTGTTTTGGAGAGGTTACCCGCTCTGTCCTCGGGTTTATATTACACCCAGATTAATATGATCGAGGCTTATGCTGCAACAAATTCAAAGACGAATAAAATGTTTAAACTTTGGCATGATCGACTTGGTCATCCTGGCTCGATAATGATGCGAAGAATTATTGAAAATTCTAGTGGGCATCCATTAAAAAATCAGAGGATATTGCAAACACATGAATTGAAATGTGCCTCATGCTCTCAAGGAAAATTGATAATGAGACCATCACATACTAAAGTCGAACATGAATCACCATTATTTTTGGAAAGGATTCATGGGGATATATGTGGACCTATACATCCACCTTGTGGTCCATTCAGATATTTTATGGTGTTAATTGATGCCTCTAGTAGATGGTCTCACGTGAGTTTGTTATCCACTAGAAATGTGGCATTTGCTAAATTTCTTGCCCAACTTATTAAATTAAGGGCTCAATTCCCAGATTATACTATCAAAAGAGTCAGACTTGACAATGCTGGAGAGTTTACATCTCAAGCATTTAATGATTATTGTATGGCAGCGGGAATTGATGTTGAACATCCTGTGGCACATGTTCACACTCAAAATGGTCTTGCAGAATCATTGATTAAACGACTGCAGCTTATAGCTAGACCATTGATAATGAGGACAAAACTCCCCACTTCAGTATGGGGACATGCTATTCTGCATGCAAATGATCTAATTCGAATAAGACCAAATGCACACCATACATACTCGCCAATACAGTTGGCATATGGTCGAGAACCAAATATTACACATATAAGAGTTTTTGGTTGTGCAGTGTATGTACCAATTGCTCCGCCCCAACGTACAAAAATGGGGCCTCAAAGAAGGTTGGGAATATATGTTGGATATGATTCTCCATCAATAATCAAATACCTTGAGCCAAAAACGGGTGATGTTTTTACAGCTCGGTTTGATGATTGTCATTTTAATGAAGAGTTGTTCCCCCCCTTAGGTGGGAATGAAAAATCAATTGAGAAACATATTGAATGGCAAACATCATCAATATCATATCTTGATCCTCCCACCAAACAAAGAGAGCAAGAAGTTCAAAAGATCATACATCTGCAGAATATTGCGAATCAACTGCCTGATGCATTTACTGATTTAAAAAGGGTGACCAAATCACATGTAGCAGCTGTAAATGCACCGGCTCGAATTGAGATCCCAAAAGAAATGGCAAATGACGATATGCCGAATGAATTAAAGACACGCTTAAAACGAGGAAGACCAGTTGGGTCTAAAGATAAGAATCCTCGAAAGAAAAAAGAATTTCATGACTCGAGTTTGAAAACGAATCCAGATGATGGAAAAATTTCGGGACGAAATGAAAATATTGAAATGTCCATCAATTACGCAAACAATGGGGATCTTTGGAAGCGTGATGAGGTCATAAATATTGATGATGCATTCGCATATATGGTATCACAAGAAATTGACAAAGAGGTTGAAGATCCTGAACCAAAATCTATGATTGAATGTCAGAAAAGACATGATTGGGACAAGTGGAAAGGTGCTATTCAAGCCGAGTTAGATTCACTTAATAAACGGAAGGTTTTTGGACCTATTACCATTATACCAAAAGACATAAAACCTATTGGATACAGATGGGTTTTTGTCAGAAAAAGAAACGAGAAAAATGAGATCACAAGATATAAAGCTCGCCTTGTAGCACAGGGATTCTCCCAGAGGCCTGGGATCGATTATGATGAAACATATTCCCCTGTTATGGATGCAATTACTTTCAGATACTTGATCAGTTTAGCCATCCATGAAAACCTTGAGATGCGTCTCATGGATGTTGTGACTGCTTACTTATATGGATCACTGGACGCTGACATTTATATGAAAATTCCAGAAGGGATTAAAATACCCGAAACACTAAAGTCCAAACCTAAAGAGATATGTGCGATAAAATTGAAAAGATCATTGTATGGCTTGAAACAATCCAGGCGTATGTGGTATAATTGTTTGAGTGAACAATTACTAAAACGAGGATACATAAATAATCAAATATGCCCGTGTGTCTTTATAAAAAGATCACAAGATGGAGTTGTGATAATTGCTGTATATGTCGATGATCTTAATATCATTGGGACTCCAAATGAAATCCAAGAAGCAGTCACATTACTAAAAGGCGAATTTGAAATGAAAGATCTCGGACAAACCAAATATTGTCTCGGCTTGCAAATAGAACGAGTCCATAATGGAATATTTGTCCATCAATCTAATTACACTAAAAGAATATTGAAACGATTCAATATGGTCAAGGCTAATCCTCTTTGTACCCCAATGGTCAATCGAACATTAGATGTTGAAAAGGATCCATTTCGACCCTGTGAAAAAGATGAAGAAATACTTGGTCCTGAAATACCATATATGAGTGCAATAGGAGCTCTTATGTATCTTGCAAATTGCACCAGACCAGATATATCTTTTGCCACCAACTTGTTAGCAAGATATAACTCGTCACCTACGAGGAGACACTGGAATGGAATCAAGCACATATTCCGTTATCTCCAAGGGACAATCGATTTGGGATTGTTTTACTCAAATGATAAAAAACATGAAATGATCGGTTTTGCAGATGCAGGATATCTATCAGATCCCCATAAAGCAAGATCTCAAACTGGCTACGTTTTCACGATTGGTGGAACTGCATTTTCTTGGCGTTCCCAGAAACAAACATTAGTCGCGACATCTTCAAACCATGCTGAGATCATTGCACTTCATGAAGCAACTAGGGAAAGCATCTGGCTCAGAAACATGACAACATATTCAACAAGCCAGTGGACTATTGAATAATACTGACTCGACGGTGATATTCGAAGACAATGCAGCATGTGTCGCTCAAACCAAAGAAGGATACATTAAGAGTGACAGAACTAAACATATCCCGCCAAAGTTCTTCTCATATGCTCAGGAGCTTGAAAGAAACAAACAAATCAAAGTTCAATACATTCGATCAAGCGATAATGCAGCAGATTTATTTACGAAAGCACTTCCGACTACAATGTTTCGAAAGCATGTGCACAATATTGGAATGAGGCATCTTCGGGATTTGCATAGATAATAACTCGAGGGGGAGCATGTGCGGCTGTACTCTTTTTTCCTTATCTTGGTTTTTTCCCACAGGGTTTTTCCAGATAAGGTTTTTAACGAAGCAGCATAAACGCACAGTTAATAGTAGATACTCCACTAAAATAGTCATTCAAGGGGGAGTGTTGTAAAGGTGCATGCGCACCGCGTGAAGAATTTTTTAATATATGTGAATGACTATTTTGTCCCTGATATAATTGTATTATTACGATTGTACCATCAGAAGTTTCCTATAAATAGGGACTTCAGTTATAATAAAAAACACACCGAAAAGAATACAGTTTCTCTATTCTCTATAGTCTCAATTCTCTCTAGTTTTATAACATGCGCGACATTTTCAACTCGTTCATTTTTTAAGAAGCTCGTAGGGGGTTTTCCTTGAAAGCAACAAATGAAAGCATAAAAATTAAAAAATCACATATCTCGTTCAGTTTAATTTCGGAATACTAGTTTTTTTTTTTTAACCAAAAATAAATTAATAAATAAACG